AGCTATGTGACCTTGCCCAGACCATTTAACCTCTCTGACCTCATCTCAATAGTAAAGTTACAATAATAATAATAATAATCACCCCAGGTACCTCAAGGGCTCTTTAGCAATCACCAGGGAGGCCAGATAGGACCATGGTGAAGGGTAGCATTGCAGATGTTACCCCTACCACTTACTGGCTGTGTGACTTAGGTGAGACCCCTCTAAACTTTGATTTCTTTATCCATAATATAGGGTTGCTAACCCCTGCCTCAGTTGGTTGTTGGAAGGACTAAATGCGATAGTCAAATGAAATCATAACAAAATGCCTTTGTGTATAAAATAGTGTGTACTAATCATGATTTTTATCATCAGTGTGACTATGTTTTCAAACTTACAAATTGTTCATAAAAATGAAAGATTATTATAATATTTAGCATGATATGACTTCACTGGTAACAGGATAAATATTAAAAGAAAAATGTAAGTAGGAAAAATAGAATGGAGGTGGTAAAGCAAGTGGTCTGTCTTTATAATGGAGGGACTTTACAGATGAGGATGTATGGGGACTCAGGGTCTCACCAAATTAACTCATGTTGGCTTAGTTAAGAGATGGTCATATGGATCTTTTTTAAGGCTGAAAAATACTATTCATGATCAATGGCCTTATGTCAGGTTGGGATAAGGTATCTGGTGAGTGACTGAGAATCAGCGATAATTCAGGTCTTATCTCACATCTCCAGAGCCATTGAAAGTGAGAGTAAATTGGTAAGTTAATGAAATCTGTAAAGACACTCAGTGAACCTCCAGGGAGCCTCTCTCAAGCTGGAGAAACTCCACCCCAGAAGATAAGAAGTCATGCAAAAGAGCCTCAAAGTTCATTCACTTGTTCAAAAATATTTCATCCCTACTCCAGGCTGAGTACCTTGTTAGGCACTGAGGATTTAGGGATGAAAGACATGATCCCTTTCCTCACCAAGCTCACAGCCCAGTGAGGGGGAGAGTGAGTAAGTCACTACAATTCAGTGAGGTAGTCATATATAAGTTTGGGATACAAGAGAGTCCAGAGTTGGGGCTTCTAGCCCAGCCCAGGGATCAGAAAAGTTTCCCCAGTGGGAACAACACCTGAGCAGGTTCTGCAAGGACCCAGTGTGGTTAGTCTGACAGGGGAAGAGAGTTGGTTGTGTTCTAAGAGGAAGGAGCACCACCGAAGTGGAACTGCAGGTCGTTTACTTTGGTCCTGTGGGGCAAAGGGGCAGCCCTGTTAAAGGACCAGGGCTCCTTTGTGATGTCGGCTCATGTCACGGTCCTCCCACATTATAGTAATTGTGCTTTTAAAATCTCTTGCTTGAGGGGCACCTCGGTGGCTCAGTCAGTTAAGCACCTGCCTCTTGGTTTCAAGCGCAGGTTACGATCTCAGGGTCGTGAGATCGAGAGCCCTGCCCTGCATCAGGCTCCATGCTCAGTGGGGAGTCTGCTTGTCCCTCTCCTCCTCCTGCCCCTGCTTTCTCTCTCAAATAAATAAATAAAATCTTTCAAATCTCTTGCTTGAAAAAAGCACACGATGCCCCCCCCTTCCCGAAAAATCTGTTAGGAATTTTATAACACTTTTAAATGAACTTGTGTCTTGTTAATCCCAACAATGTCTACTGGTACTTACATTTGAAAAATATTTACTATACTTTTAAATGAACTTGCATACTTCATTCCCAACAGTATCTACTTACATTGTCACTTAAAAAATATTCATTTCATTTATGTGCAAGACTTAACTAGCTTTTCATTGTGAAACAATCTTTGTTAATGCATATATTGATGATGACCTGACAAGAACGGCCAGTTCAGCCCATGCCCGCCCCCAGAGGCCAGTGAGCCAGTTAGCGCTGGAGTCAGGGGCACTGGCAGGCCCCAGGCCTGGAGAGCTGGCCAGAGCGGGGCTTCACTGTCCACGTGAAAGTGGAGGGCATGGGGAGATGCTGAAGAGCTTAAAGCAGTGACAGCAATTGGTTGCTCCGTCAGCAATGTGGCAAGCAGCAGGAGGAAGGCAAGGCAGGGGGTGAAGAGATCGGTTACATGGCAAGCTCTGAACTAAAATAGTAGCAGTGAATGGAGAGAAAGAAGCAGATATGAAAAATATTAAAAGGTAGAATCGATTGGACTTAGTGACCCCCGACGTGGGAATTGGGGGCAAAGCCCCAGATGACCAGCTTTCTGGCTTAGGTCATTGGATAGATGGTGGTACCAACACAAAAAAGGCAGAGAAAAGGACAGGGTTTGAGAAGACGATTTTGACTTGGAACATAGTGACTCTGTGGTTCCTATGGGACAGCCAAGTGGAGATAACATTAGTTAGAAGAAGGATCTAGGCTAGGTTTGGGGAGTATTGACATGGATAGCAATCAAAGTCTTGGGTGTGGGTAATAGCACTCAGCAGGAGTACGGAGTGTGGGAGAAGAGGTTCAAAGACAAAGCGCCAAGAACCCCACCATCTGAGAGGCAGGTAGAAGTGAACATCCCCCTCAAGAGGCAACCACATGCATAAATGAAGGAGAAGGAGAGTGGGGGCAAGAGAGAGACAGTGAAAGACAGAGGTACCATGAAAGCCAAGGGAAGAGAGGGCTTTAAGAAGGAGCCATTAAACTTGTCAGTCCCGAGAGCAGTCAAGTACAAGGACCAGTAAGTTTACCCGTAGCTTCGGTGAAAAGAATAACAAAACACCATCCCCTACTTACGGGACTCGTTATACTGTTAGAGGGCCTCATACTTGGTACTTCACGTCTCTGGCCCTGCAGCCTATAGCAATTGCACAGATGAAAAAGCCTCCGGAAGTGGGGTGACTGTCTAGTGAGACAGTGACTGGGCTCCTGGAATTAGAGATCAGTCCAGAATCTCAACCATGCTCACTGGTTCCATCCACACTTGGGTTAGCTTTTTACAAATAACCAAAAAGGAAATCAGAATGGGCCCTGTTCCAGAATAACAATATAGATATCAACTGAGGATTCGTTGGAAAGATTAATTAGTATCATTGAACTTGTATTTGAGGGTGCGTATGTCTGGTTGTTGGATATTCACACCACCTGAAACAAAATAATGAAAGTACACTGTGAAGACCTGTTCTGGTTTTTTTTTTGCAACTGGACCCCTTCTCCTCATGCCACCTCCCATTCCAGGGAGTAGGCTCTCTTCACCAGAGATAGTTATTTAAATTTGGAGCAAAAGCTCCTTGCAGATTTGATGAGGTCAACACTTACCAGATCTCAGTTCTCCTACTTCTGCATTTTTCCAGAGGCAGGTCTAACTCTCCATACAGGAGTCCCCTGCTCACTCATTCCTCAATCACACCAATAAAGGAGGGCGGCTGCCCCTCTGGCCTGTGAGATCTGGACCAGACCCAAACTTATCCATGTGGGATGAGGCCTGGACCTGCCTCTGCCTTGTCCTCTGCTGGGAATAATTCACAACACACTTATCTCAGGGAATTCACTGCTCTGTTGGGCGTAGGTCTGATTATCTCTCTAAACCTGTCTATCATTCATAGCACAGAAGTAACATGAAACAAATACCTCTATCAGTTTCTAACATTTCATTCTCTTTACAGCTCAGATAATATCACTGCACTGTTATCACACTGGAGGTTGGGCAAGACCCCAAAACTATGCAACGTTGATTTTCTGAGGGTGACTCACAGCCTTATTTCCAGCTGGTGGTCTGGCTCTGGCCTTTTCTTCTGACCCAGAAAACTGAGCTTCAATCTGGATACATGGCTGTACAAGTCATTCCAGGTCCGGAACAGCTGGGAAGTTCTTTGGATTCTGTACCACAGGCCAAGGATGGCTGATGAGCTACTTCCCTTTCTCCTAAGTGTACTCTGTATGTGGCCCTCTTCTCAGGATTGAAGACGGCTGGTACACAGGAAGAAGAAAAGCAAACAGAATGGGTGAATTGGAATTTAAAAAATGCCTACTTTATCACCTACTCCATTGTGTTCCTGAAACAGAAACATCTGTTAAATATTAAATATGTGGGGCCCTTGGGTGGCTTAGTCAGTTGAGCATCCAACTCTTGATCATGATCTCAGAGTCATGAGATCGAGCCCCGCATTGGGCTCCACGCTGGGTGTGGAGCCCACATAAGAGTCTCTCTCTCCCTCTCCCTCTGCCCCTCCCCCACCGCTTGCACACTCTCTCTCTCCTTAAAAAAAAAAACAAAAGATTTGAAAACTCCATTCTCAGAAAAAGGAGAGTCATTAAGTGTCTCTCTCCTCCTTCAGAACAAGCCTAGACAAGTAACATGATGTTAATTCTCTAATCTCTCAAATAAAAGAGATCTTTTAAATAGAAGACTTCTGAAATCATCTTAAGCCTGTGCATCACTCTACAGAAAACAATTATTTAGGTATAAAGTCAAACTGAACTGCCATTATGATTTAAAAAAATAGGGGCGCCTGGGTGGCTTAGTCGTTAAGCGTCTGCCTTTGGCTCGGGTCATGATCCCAGGGTCCTGGGATCGAGCCCTGCATTGGGCTCCCTGCTCAGCGGGAAGACTGCTTCTCCCTCTCCCACTCCCCCTGCTTGTGTTGCCTCTCTCGCTGTGTCTCTCTCTGTCAAATAAATAAATAAATAAAAACCTTTTAAAAAATAAAATAAAAAATAAAAAAATAGGTGTAATACACTTTTCAGCTTCTGTATCACAGACTTTTACTTGTCTAAATGATGTGTCTCTGGAACTAGACAACCTGTGTTTAAATCCTGGCTCCCAGACCTACAAGCTGGATGACCTTGGACCAGTCACTTAGCGACTCTAGGTAAAAGCGGATAATGGCAATTTCTTTCTTAGAGCATTGCTGGAGTATTAAAGAGTTTTTAAAAGTAAAACGTGGGGGTGAGAGCTTGGGCATAGCAAGCGTCAGAAAGGGATCGCTGGGCCGGTATCAGACAGGCTGGCAGGCAATCCGGGGCTGCCCAGGCTTTGCTGTGATAATGCAATAACAAGTCCCACGCTATTTGTCTTCACTGTAGGTCAGTGCAGCTGAACGGCCAGCCCTTAGTGATGGTGGATGATGGGACCCTCCCTGAACTGAAGCCCCGCCCCCTGCGGGCCGGCCGGACATTGGTCATCCCTCCAGTCACCATGGGCTTTTATGTGGTCAAGAATGTCAACGCTTTGGCCTGTCGCTACCGATAAACCACCCTCACACCCACAAGTCACCAGCAGGCCTGCTGGACTGCTTTTCACTCTCCTGCCCTAATAGTATCCTGATTTTTCAGACATCTTCTTAGCAACAAACCAGTCTCTGCTGCCCCATCCTGCTGGAATCAGCACAGACTTGCTCTCCAAAGAGACAAATGCCATAGCATGAGCTTCACCTAGGTAGGCCACATCCAGCCCAAAGGAAAATGTAGACATCACGTGTAGCTATATAAGGATGAAGGTATGTCTGTAGAGCTGTCTGTATCCCTGTGCACGCACCATGAAAAGAAGCTGGTGGCGCACTCCCAGGACAGATGAAAGAGCTCTCCATGATCCGGGTCACGGAGCAATGTCACCATGGACCTTAACCTGTGACCGCTGCCCTCGGCACAGGATGAGGAAGGAAACCACCAGGTGGGCCTTCAGGAGCCCAGGCCTCTTCTAACTCCTCTCCTTGTCCATTCCCCGCTGTTGCCCCGGGTTTCCTATCACCTCTCTTCTCCCTGGGGAGCAAGTGAGTGGGTCAGCACCGGCCCGCTGGGTGAGCTGTTTATGTCGTTTCCCAGCTGATGTATGAGTGTGTGCGTCTGGGTTTCTGACAGTGGCATCGATCACCGGCTATTCCTCTGGGAAACGGGGGCTTCCAAGTAAAATTGCAATCATACTCAGATTTTGTAAGAGGGTTCTATTCCTCTGTGAATCCAGAGTCCCCCTGGGTTGAAATGGGAGTCAGGTAACAATATTCATGGAGTGGAGAACAATGTATTAGGCACCACAAAAAGTAATCATCATCCGTCATGTGGCTGGGAGGGAGAGAGTTTCAGCACAAAGAGAAAGCACACTGAGCCACCGAACGCAGACACACACACACACACACACACACACACACACACACACCCAACTGAATAAGCAAATAATTAGATCTGCGTCAAATCTGAAGGAATCTTAAGGGCTTGTAGGTCAAGCCCTTAATGGTTTATCTGACCAAAACCATTTAAAAAAGGTGTAAATCCACACCATCAGTGTAAGACACAACTGAAGCTCACCGTTCCACTTCCTCCCGGGGAACTGGGTGCCTCAAATGCCATTTACTAGGCAGAAATCTAATCCAGTCCTGAGAGTCGACCAGGTCCACGCTCTCCCAGGCCAGCCAGTGTGAGCCCAGAACAAAGCCTTCCGAGCACTCCCTGAGGGGAGGGGGAATCTGGAAACTGAGGTCTGATGGGGGAACTGTGGGGTGGTGGGTGGGAAGCCCCTGAGCCGGGCAGGGAGAAGTGGACTGATTTAAAGGTCATGATCAACCCGTAGGATTCAAGGGGCAAGATGCAAATAAGCTGCCACTGAAATAACTTTCCTGTGGGTTTGATTTTCTTTCTCAGGATAAAGGACACGAATGGCAGGGGCTAAGGACAGGGCCGGGTCTGAGGTGAGACACCGGAGGAAGATGAGACAAGGGAGGAAGTCTGGGAGACTCAGCATGGAGAAAAGGGAACGGGGAATTGGGGAGAGGGAAGCCAACAGGCTCGCTCTATGCTTGAGTAAGAGAGTGGACTCGGTTTTGCCGTGTTGGTCAGCGGGTCTGGAGGCGTGTGCTACGGCCAGCAAAAAGGGGGGGGGGGCATCAGGAATGGGCGGGACCTGGTCAGTGGGCATGCTCAGCCTGGAGGCGGATGGAGAGAGGGCCGCGGACTCCGGCACCGCCACGTTCAAGGCTACCCAGGCGGCTTCCTTGGGAGGCCGACATCTCCTGCTGAAGCCTCAGCTCTGTGAGGGGAGGAGCGAGAAGTGCCCAGACTGGGGTAGAAAGCAGGGAAAGAAGTGGCAGAGGACAGCCCAAGTGAGGGAGAGAGAGGAAAAGAGAGACAAGTTGTCTCCCCAAACTTTAAAAAATGTGTGCAGATAGCAAAATCTCTCGAGACAGGTGTAGGCAGAGCTGCAGGCCCCGGATGAGAACACAAGTAAGCAGCGGTCCCCGTGGGCCTGGCCCTGGCCAGTTTGCTTCGGGTAGGTAGCCCCATGAAGGAGTCACTGGTTTTATCCCTGCCTTCCTGTGAGGCGTGGAGAGCGTTCATAGCTTGCCCAGGGCAACCCAGGGCAGTGGGTGGCTGAACACAGAATAATCCAGTGCCTGTTCCTTTAACCACCAAGCCCAGTGGTTGCCCACTTCACAGCCTCACCCCCTTACCTGCTACTTCAGTGTGGCCAAACCTTCAGAGCTCAAGTCAAGCACACTTTCTGTAAATAAGTGTTGATTCTTCACTAAGCTTCCAAGCCTGCAGAAGATGGGCCATTTCTGCTTCTTTTATCTCTCTGTGTATTAAATGCTCCCAAGAGGTTTGAGTTTTGTTTTTTGGTTTTTTTAGTTAATAAAAAGGGAAGAGGGAATCACTGAAATTTATCTTTGGGGTCCTGCACTTCTAACTTTGCAACTGTCTCATGGAAGAAGTATTTGCATTATTCAAAGGATACTGAGAAACTCATGATAACATCACATTCTTTAGGAATTTCAGTACAGGGCATCTGTCCCAGCTTTTCCATTTTGGGATGGGGGATAATTACTAAATCAGTAGGGATCACTTCCTATAAGGGATTCCCCTATCACACTCCCTGCAAAAGACAGCCTGTGGCAAAACTCAGTCTCACAACGGGCACAGGCTGGGCCCTGGGACAAAAGAGTTCATCCACCAGCTTCCCACATCAGATTTTTCCTCCTAAGACAAGACATGGCCGAGATCATCTAAGACTTTAGAGCCACTTTACTTTAAACTGAAGAATGGGCTTGCAGAAATGCTTATTTGAAAGCATAATAAGGTATAATGAGAAGTCTGTGCCTTTTGTTGAGACGATTTTCTGTTCTTCCTGCCTCTAGGAATGATTTTCTTTCTCTTTCCTTATCACAAAGGCTCAGAACAAATTCTCATTGTTACTTGAAGAAAAAGTCTCAATTCTTCTAGTGCCCTGAAAAAGCTGCAACTGTGGGATATTAGCTTATCTCCGGGTGGAGAAAAGCTTGAAAATTCCAGAACTGGGCTACAATGAGACTAAGGCCTGGGACGCCCAGAACTACAATTCCCCATTGCCCACTCACCCTGGTAGCCCCATCCCCTCCCCAGCAGTTGGGCAGTCCCCAGGCAGATGGGCCCAAGCCTGCACCCTCCCAAATGGCAGAGGTTACTGGTGGATTCTATGTGAAAGGCCTGCGCTGGCCCTGAGCACCAGGAGCTGCTGAGGCCTCCTGAGGTGGGGCGGGGAAGGACCCAGCAGGGCTGTGAACTGCTGAACGGATGGAATGGTCCTGGCCACGCCCCACGTCGGCAGGGGTGCTCCACGCATGCACTCCAGGCCCATGTTTGGGAGGGATGCAGCTGCTGGATTTGCCTTGGAAATCCACTGAGAGTGGCTTTATTTCTGAAAACAAAAGGGCAGTGTTTGAACTCTGCAGAAGCAGAGATGAACCAGGTGGATACCTCTGGCAATAAAGTAGACTAGCGGTTCTGATGAGTCGTGAGTAGTGCTGTGACCGACCAACCTTGGCTGTAACATTTGGAATCCAGCCTCCCCTCGGGCCCACCAGTGACCCTCTTGGCCGCTCCTGCCCTGTATTCTTCTGTAGAATAATTTAAAGGACCATTCCTACCACCACCACCCACCACAGGTGATGATTCTTGATATTTCCAAGTCCCAGAGAGCCAGGCGGCACCCAAGCATGCACCGCTTCTGACGACACTGCTCCACCTGTCCCACCACTAAGAGATTTGGAAGTTTCTCTTTGTCTTCCAGACTAAATAATAAATCCATTAACAATTGCCGGAGGGGTGGTATTTTGCAAAGATCACTCTAAAACAAGAAAGCCAAAATACAAGAAACCAACTGCTTTGACACCCACTTCCTTCCAAACACCAGAGCAGCCCCCCGGGGAGCCCTGGAAGCATTCAGGAGGAGTTGACCAAGTTCCAAATGACTGGCTCATGAATAAATCCCACTGTCCTATACACCCAGCAGAGAAACGGGGGCCCTTCTTTACAGCCCACAGCATGAACTTTACTCTTAATTATTATTCATGAAAATATCCTAGGATCCTTTTTCAGTTGTAAATGTTATGTAATAAATTATATTTTTGGAAGAAGCAAAAAGAAACCTAAGCTTTATTCATCTGGAAGTTGGCAAAATGAGTACAGGAACACCTCCCAGGGAAAGTCTCTTCTCTGCAGGGGATTTGAACAGGTGTTAATATTTGCTTCCAAAATCAGATTATATTAAGGTTTATATGAGCTTGGCGATTGCAGAGAGTTAGGGCCCATGAGGTAGTTTATATTTTGAGGTAACATTCTGTAAGTAATAAAATGTGAATACTCTAACTTTCTGTTCTCAGGGTGTTCTGGGGGCAAAGGGGTCACTGTTGTCCACACTACACTTTGACCCAATGAACTAACACGTGGTGGGGCCTCGTGTTGATCTCGTGATGTGCTGCCCTCTCCCTCTTTCCTCTTCCCCACAAGCTTGGCCTCCAGTACTCTAAGTGGAAATTAAATGTTATTGTTCAAGTTAGATGCCATTGACTATGTTAAAGTAACTGTTAACTGCAATAACAGATAAACCCCAGAATCTCAATGGCCTAATGTAATGGACATTTTTTTTGCTAACAGGTCATGCAAAGTTCAGTTGGTGGTAGTGGGGTGAGCAGTGGTTCCATTCCCTGTAGCCCTTCAGGGACCCAGACTGGTAGGCGGTCTGCCATTTCAGCATTTGGCCTCCAAGGTTGCCGGCATCCACATGCAGGCGGCAGACAAGGAGAGAGTGAGTGTGCAGAACCATATGTGGTAGTTTAGGGGCCTCACCTAGAATTGGCATGAATTCCTTCCACTCAGTTCCACTGGCCATAAGTCAATCACATGGTCCCATCTAGATGCAGGGGTTTCAGAAATGAAGTTCGTGGCTGGACAGTCACTTCTCAACAATTATATTTCATTACTATAAATGGAATGTCTTTGATCCCCCCCCCAAATTCTTATGTTGAAACCTAACCCTATATGTGGATTCCCAATTTGATAGTATTTGGAGGTGGGGCCTTTGGGAGTGATGAGATCGTGAGGGCAGAGCACGATCCCTTCATGAATGGGATTATGAAAGAGCCTGCAGAGGGCTCCTTGGCCTCTTCCTCCATGTGAGGACACATCCAAAGGTTCTTATGAACAAGAAAGTGGGCTCTCATCAGACACTGAAGCTGCTGGAACCACGATCTTGGACCTCTCAGCCGCCAGAACTGTGAGGAATAAATTTCTGTTGTTTATAAGCTATTCTGTCTATGGCATTTTTATTATAGCAGCCTGAACAGACTAAGACATTCATGAAAAAGGAGCACAAAACTTTGATGGACAGCTAGGAGACCAGAAAATGTATCAATGATATTAGGTCTCTCTAGTTAATTTCACATCAAGTGAGTATTACAAACAGACCGTATGTGGTAATATCTAAATTCAAAGGATTTTTTTTACTTACTTCAGAATGACCTAAAGGAGCTTTCTTCTGCCTCTTTCCTTTCCTTAAGTCCCACCACTCCTGGTACTTGGCTGAATTTTAGCAGAAAACAGTCTTTGTGTTGTTCCACTGCTATCCAGTTAGGATGCATCTAGTACTGGACACTGTGTCTCTACCAGACACATCAGAAATCTAATTTAAAACCTCAAATAGCAAAGTGGCTTAAGGGATCACTAGAGAATCCTAGAGGCCATGGTTACATGGGTACCCGTACC